ACTTTTAAAAGGGTTATCGTTTAAAAGGGTTAGACAGATTAATGGATGACAAGTCTATCGCCTTTTAAAAGGGTTATCGTTTAAAAGGGTTAGACAGATTAATGGATGACAAGACTATCGCTGGCTACTAGCCATAGTGACTAAAGGCAACCTTCACATTCAGAGGCAGTAAACCTCTGAATACCAGTGCTAGGAGGCAACATCAAGGGCCTCTATGCCCTGTTGTTGCCCCTCCCACCTAGTAACTGGTTGGCCACTGTATGAGACAGGATGCTGGACTAGATGGACCACCGGTCTGATCCAGCAGGGGTCTTCTTATGTTTTTATATGACATTCGTGCCCCACTTTTTTCTCCACAACGGGGAGCCTAAGCAGCTTACAACATTGTTCTCCCCTTCTCCATCCCTTCTCCATTTTATCTTCACAACAACTACCGGTAGTTACCCCTTCTCCATTTTATCCTCACAACAACTAATTGGTTAAGGCTGAGAGTAATGGGCCCAAGAGTACCTAGAACATTTCCAGATCAGACTGGGGATTAGACCCCAGCTCTAACCAGTACATCATGCTGGTTCTTGGCTGCCCTTTATATTGGTCCAGAAGCTTCAGATAGTACTGAGTTTAGCAGACCCTTTATTAAAAAGACAATAGGGGAGTGAACATACCACACTGAACTCCATGTGACTGCACCAATTTCCTGTGTTAATTTGCTTTTGGCTCAGTTCAAGGTGTTGGTTCTTCCATTTCAGAAAAAAAAAAGATATAGGTGATGGCAGGACTTTGAGATCATACTGTTCACACAGGTCATTTGGAGGAAGTTCTGCTCTTCAATGCTCTGTTTATTATGATGAGCATCAAAACCATGCAGAGCCACCTCTGTGGTAGCACCCCGAAATACCTCAAATTTTCTCAAATGCTGGAGTATTTGCTGTGTAATTTTGGTACGGGATATATTTGCATTCCAAGGCATGTGCTGAGGTTTGTTGAGCAGGCCCTTAATTTAACAATATGAAGGATCAGCTCAGCCCAGTGTTAATACATCACACCTTTTCCAAAAGGGAAAAAAAATACTTTCAGAATTATTTTTTTAAATAGCTGCATTGTCACATGGATGAGTCAGGATGACCATTTTGCCATAGACATGACATATTTAGAAACTATGCCCTCCAAAACAAAGTCTAAACAAACAAACTCTATCAAAGGACAGCTTGAACAGTGACTTCTGTGCGGAAAGCAAGAATTCTACCTGTTTAGAGAACCACAGGAATGAACTGTCTACTAAGCTATAGAAGATGCATAAACTGATCTACCTTTCATTCAAACTGTGGGACCAAGCCCTACAAGGAAAGGCTGAGGGACTTGGGAATGTTCAGTCTGGAGTAGAGAAGGCTGAGAGAGAAACATGAAAAGAGAAACATGAAAAGTATTTGAAAGGCTCTCATGTAGAGGAGGGAAGGGAGCTGTTCCTGTTGGCAGCAGAGGACTCCACAGAATGGGTTCCAATTATAAGTGCAAAGGTACCAGCTGGATATTAGGGGGCAAAATTCTACAGTAAGAGTTGTTCAGCAGTGGAATCAGCTGCCTAGGGAGGTGGTGAGCTCCCCCTCACTTGTAGTTTTCAAGTAGCGGCAAGGTGAAGATTGGTCAGGGATACTTTAGGCTGGTCCTATACCGAGCATGGGGTTGGACTAAATGGCCTGTGTGGCCCCTTCCAGCTCTACAATTCTATGATTACCGTCCAATGTGACCGTCCAATAGGTCAAGCTGCATACATTAGTATTGCATATATTTAATGGCCACAATTACCACACGTACTGTCTGTGTGGGGGAAAATAACACTTAGCAAAACTGGTGTTAGTAACTGCTTCCCAAGAATGATAAAACTTTGTGGACTAGAACAGTAATGTTCAAATTGACCCCTGCTAAGGTTCCTGAGTACTACAGGCAGCCACTCACTTAACAGAATGGATTGTTTCTAAGTATCTAACAGAGAGACGTGAATGATAGATGGTCTGCAGTGTCCTTCACTATGAGTGCCTTGATCCTGTCAGGGACGAATGCAACGTTTAACAGTTTGGGGACAGGAGGGGCTGTCACCAACAATTTGTTTTACTTAGAGAAGCAATGATAATATGCAAAAATTTCCTGTTTGTGAAAAATTAATGGTGTTTCTACCCTCCCACCGTCTTTGTAACTCAATTCATCTTTGCCAGTTCTGAAATGGAAGGGGGAGGGAGTCTTGTATGAAAACGTGACACTTCTGATCTCAATGGTAACATGCCATTGAGAAGTGCTGATTTGACTGATTGGTTCTTTGAGGATATTAGAGTGACCCTTCAGAGTAGAAGATGAATTTTTCTCATCACAGCATCCTGACCTGATTTATGTAGTCTTTATAGTGCCATTACACACATAACACAAGTTCAACTGACAACGACAACACAGTTAAGATGGCAGAGGTTACATAAGCTGTTCACTAAAAGTTGGATGCTGAGATGTTTAACAAAGCTCAAACTCAAACTATACCTCACAAGACAGTAAAAAGTTATCTGACGATGATGGAAAGGGATACAGAATTTTTGATAAATGATGTCTTCCAGTTTCACGGGAAATGGAATTTGAGGAATGTTGTCAATTTAGAGCTCAAATACTATAAGCTAAATGTGTTCTTTGAGTATCAAGGAGAAAGATGGACTAGTAGTTTGTATGTGCAAGAAGGACTAGCGAGGATTGTTTTTGCTCCAGGTCAATACTTTCCCAACAGGCCTACACCTATATACATAAATAGGCGAATCAAGACACTTAAGTTCTATGACCCCAGGTCTCATAAAGTTAATTGCTAGAACAAGTCTTTCAGTGGAATTAAAGCACAACTGGAGGGCATTTTTGTGTTGGTTTTTGTTGATGTTAAATTTTTCATTATTTTGTCTCTAGAGTTCATTTCTCTCCAGATTCCCTCAGCAAGTCTGTTTTAGCATAGTCCCTGCTTAAATCTTTATTTTGTTCCTTTTTTGCAGAACATGCTTGTTTTTGAGTTAATATCCTGTAGCATATGTTTATTCTTGTTTCTGCTCTCCACATCTTAACATCTGAAAAGAGTTCCATGGAACTCAAAGATAATCTCCACTATTAAGTAGATTCCATATGGATCTACTTAAGCATCACCTGACAGTTACCTCTCTTGTCAGAGTCTAGAATAAAAGGGAGGTAAGCCAAGATAAGATGTGTTCCTCTAAATTATCCTTTCTGGAGGCAAAAGGTCTTTGCCACTGAACGGATCACAAGGAGAAAGGAAACTGGGCTGCCATGAACTCTCACAGGTTACCATTCACTATTTCAATTTGTGCTATTATTATTGTTGTTGTTGTTGTTGTTGTTGTTGTTGTTATCATCATCTCTCAATGCAGATGTTCATATAGAATGAGCACAAAAAGCCAAGACCCTGTCCCAAGGAGCTTTCAACACTCATCCCTCTGTGGGAACCTCAGTTACCAACACTGATATCCCAACTCCAGACTATCTTTTATTCTGGGAATTTCGATCAGAGCACACAGAAAACCCCCACTTTGTCTTTTAAGCAGCATAAAACCATAACACATCATCATTCTTTTTTAGACAGAGGGGAGGGTGACACATGGCTATAGCAGCTACCACTTATACCTGGAGACCGTAGCTAAACAGGTATCAAATCACTCATCAGAGGGAGAGACTTATTGTGGCATTTAGTCTTACCTCCCAAAGTCCTCAGGGGAAGCTGCTGTAGGAAAATTATTAGTTTTGTCGTGGCACCACATGTCACCATGCCTACCGAACCATTAAGCTTAAAATAATACTCTGAATGAAGGATTTTTACACCGCATTTATCATTCTGCAAAGGTCTGTGGTACACGGTGTGTGTGGGGGAGTAACTATTTATCAAGTATGAAAAGCAGTTTATAAGATATATTTGATACACAGTGACATTTGCTTTTAATCAATTGAGAGTGAAATTGCTGATGGATAGGTGGACTTGTCAAAACAAAATACGCCCTTCTATATATAATGCAAGATTACTTTTATAAAATGCATACCTGGTCCTCTCTCATCAAGGAGATCAGAAAATATGAATGCAATTACTCTTCCAAGTTAAAGGTAATCTCCTTCCTTATCCCACCCCTTAGGTATTACTTAGATTTTAGAGGAAGAGTCAGGGTTTGGCTTCTTAACATACAAAGAACCTTAAATCCTGGCACAGAATCATAATTGCTTCATAGGTCATTTAATTTTCAAAGTACATTCAATCAAAGTCCCTAAATACTCAAAATTCCATCTCAATAAAGTGAGCATTATGATTCTGAGTGCTTTGCTTACCAATGAAGATGGAGAAAAGGACATCATCTACATTGCATTTGCTCCCCCCCCACACTTAACTCATTCAAAAACTTATATTTTTTTTACATGAAATGCAATACAAGACATATTTGTGTTCAGCAGCACATCGTTTACATCACAAAAGTATGGTATATTTCATGCCATTGGCTTTATTTAACACCACAGTGCCTATAAATTTTTCCCTTCCAACTTTTAGAGAGAGAAAAAAAGAATATATACACAGCCGTGTATCTGTGGGGTTTCGAATGCTGCCAGCTTGGTAAATTATGGTTTAAGCAGCCAGGGATAAATGCTGCATGAAGTGCATTTCTAATATTAGACCAAGGTAAAAGGCAAGAAGAAACTTTTATGAGACCCTGATAGGAATAATTCATGTTCCTGCAATTCAGCTTCACATTAGAACACAATATGATTCCTATTATAAATTAAGAACTAGATTCTGTCATCCTCACCTTGACCAGTGCAATATTCAGAAAGTGAATTTCACATGACTTAGAAGAAGCAAGGCTGCCTTCTGAAAAAATCATGTTGTATTTCAAATGGACACCCACCCAGCTACGATAAAAATGGAATCTTAAAAGCAACCCCAGCAACGTATGGTTTAATTAAAAACCTACACAATACATTACCTTCCGCCTCGGGCACTGAAAGGCACTACATGGATTCCCAAAGGCCCACCGTCATTGGAGACTTCAACGAGCTTTACCATATCACTGTGAGACAATGACGAATGAAGGAATGTGAACATGTACTGTAAATGAACCAAAGAAGACATACACACAAACAGACACACCCAAAACACCAAGATATCCTATAACTGCAGGCAGTGATGGTGAAAACCAAGTTGAATGCTACATACCTGAATATTAATCTGACAGCATGAAAGAAGATTAATCATAGAAACAGCTTTATTAATAAATCAAATGAAATGGAAACTGATGGTTGGGCAACCCTATTCCATTATATTAACTGTATTAAGAACAGTAATGACTAGAATGGGTGTTGGTATTGGCCTGTGTGTGGGTTGCAAATAAAATAACGAACCCAAAAGTTCAAAGTGAATCCTACACCCTACATCTATCCTATCTCTTCTTGCTATGCAACTGAAAATACAGCAAACATGAATTGTCCATGTTTTATATCCGTACAGGTTGTTAGATAGATGTTATCACCAGAATTGAGTCCGGAGATGTAATCCGTTTACTTCAAAAAATTAGAAGTGACTCATCATTCATAAGGCTGGGGTAGGGTTGTATGAGTTTTTCAATGATTCTGAGCTTTAGATGCACTGACAATATTTTTGCCCTGTTCAGTCAAGTGTGTATCCACCTCAGCACTTTAGAAGGATGTAAGTCCTGTCTTCTTTATTGGATTCCTAAATGGAATACTGAAACACTTCAAACAGTTGAAGAACTATGACACTATAACTCTTAAAAGCAATGTCCATATCTCATTGCTGCATTTCATATTTCTGTTGCTCTAAGTACTCATCTCTGATTATTTCCACTTATATACATTCCCTTCTCTTGGATTCAAGAGCTCTAGCGTATGTCTTTCAAAAAGCTAAGTATTTGTATATACACATTCAAAAATGGTTCCAAAAATGAACAAGTGCCGGAAACATATCCAGATTAATTTTGGGACATCTGTGCCTACTTAACATGGCACAAGATTTAGCAAAATAAAGCTATTATATTAAACATTATACAGGACAATAGGCTAAAACAGAATTCTGATCATGAAATATAGTATGAACTGGACTGCTTGTATGTGCAATTGTCAGACTGTACATGCTGAAGTGGACACAGATGGCAACTTGTAAGAATCTTAAGCATACAAAAATTGAATGATTCTTTACATTTAAAAAGGAAAACACATCCAAAACAATGCCTGCTACAAATGCCTGCCAGAGCAAACCAGTTTAGAAATAGAAATATTAAATGTCAGATAAGCATTTCATAGACCAGATAGCAAATATTATGGTTAGACAATATTTTAGTAGTAGTGGGAAAAATCTGGGGGGTTGGAATCCCACTGCCATCACATGGGAGATAATTATGTTGTTTAACCTTTCTTTTTTCTAGGCTTATCAGTAGTTTATCAAGAAAAAAGAAATTTTGAACCTGATAATATACGATATTTACTCAAATGCAAGACTAGCCCCCCCGCCCCCCCGGGTGCCAACAACAAAGAGGGTGTCATCTTAAATTCATATACAACTTACAGTTCTGTCCAATCAGTTTTTTAAAAAGCTTTTTGTGTATAACATTTTAAGAGGTAGTCGTCTTATACTCAGTGTCATCTTTCTTTCAAGTTAATATGGTATTATACCTGAGAAGTGAGGCTGCATTCTACTACTCTGCTCAGCTAATAATGGCACTTTCCTCTGCGGCAATCAGTGTCCCTCTGGCAGGAAGAGTCTTTCACAACAGAGAAAGGCTTGTTGAGCTGAAGGAAAGTGCTGCTGGAAGATGAGCAGAATAGCAGGATCGAACCCATGTCCGTGCCAGTTCTACAAAGTGACATTCAGAAGACATACCTTTTTAAGACATTTAATGAAACTCTCCTTTACTGAACTATTTTTCACTACCCAAGAAAGTTTCAGCTCAGCAAACAAATCAATCTGAATTAATTTTCAAGTCTTCTTTCAGTAGAGTTTTTGCGTTTAACAGTCATCTGGGACTGCTTTGTATCCTTCTTTAATCCACATATAGCTTCAGTCAGAGGTCATTCCGGGGGGGATCAGGGGGATCGCGGTTCCCCGGGGTGAGGTACGAGGGGCGGGGAACATGACGAAGCCCCGCCCCCCGCTTCCGGCCAACCCGCTTCCGGCCCTCATTCAGCCAGGAGGAGGCAGGAGAAGAGGGAGGGTAAGTTGCTTGCTCCCTGCCTCTCCGGGGCCATGGAGGGCCTTCGCGGGGCTTCCTTGCACTCCCGCCGGCCTTGCAGGTCCACCGCAGGGCCCCTCATGGGGCTTGGCAGTGGAGCTGCAAGGCCGGCGGCGGCTGCCGGGACAGTTGGGGGCGGGGTGTGTGGCCTTATGACACACTTCCGGTGATGTCAGGGGGCGTGGCCTTATGACACACTTCTGGTGATGTCAGGGGGTGTGGCATATGCTAATGAGTTATGCTAATGAGTTCCCCTAGCTCTTTTTCTACGAAATGACCCCTGGCTTCAGTGATCATGATGTTGTAATCAAGTGACAAATATGTCAGTGGAGATGAACTGGAATAGATTTTGCATCAACTTTGCTTGGAACATCCCAGCACCAGAGTTTATGATCAGTTTTCCTATTGACATATTTATTATCATCAGTTGCTTGGATCACTCAATTTTTCAGAGGCATATAGTCAAGGCACATGATACCATAACATTCTCTGAGCTGCATGCAGTCTTATTGGCTACACTGACTCAAAATCACTGGAAGAAAGAGACATTCTAATATTCTATATTAGCTATACATTTGCTGTGTATTATTGTAGCTTTTGTACAGCCCATGTGACCTTAATTACTGAATTCACTGTCAGCCATGTTGTTAGTAGCTGCTGTGCAAACAAGGGACATAAAATAAACAGATGTTTCAGCAAAATAGGAAAATTGCGATTTGCCTGAATTGGGGGGGGGTCTCCATTTATTTTATTCATTTAAGATTTAAAATTAATTCAACAGTGACTTGTTCATTACTCTGCTTTTTAAAAAGGAAACTGGCATTATGTTTTGCTCTGATTAGGAAACTGGCATTATGTTTTGCTCTGATTAAATCCACTTCTCTCAATTCAAAATGGCCTTCTTCCTTCTGAGACTTTTCAGGAGAATAAAGAACCCTATCTTCTTTTATTCCAACTTTAGAAGGACTTCCCTTCATAGTTCTTCAGCCAACAACAGCTCTCCTCTTCCCCACCTTTCCTCAAATTTACATGATGCCGGGGAAATAAAAAATAAATAGCTGCTAGAAGGTCTGCAAAAGCCCAGATTTCTAGCTCTCAATGGAGGCTAATAGTATGTCCAAACCTTCCATTGTTGATCGAACAAAGTTCAATGAAAATTTTTACTTCAATATTGGTAAGTGA